TAGTGCTATGCTGTGTTGCCTGCCCACTAGCTTAGTGCTATGCTGTGCTGCCTGCCCACTAGCTTAGTGCTATGCTGTATTGCCTGCCTACTAGCTTAGTGCTATGCTGTGTTGCCTGCCCGCTAGCTTAGTGCTATGCTGTATTGCCCATCCACTAGCTTAGTGCTATGCTATGTTGCCCGCTCGCTAGCTTAGGACTATGCTGTATTGCCCGCCCACTAGCTAAGCACTATGCTGTGTTGCCCGCCCGCTAGCTTAGTGTAATGACGTGTTGCCCGCCCGATAGCTTAGTGCTATGCTGTGTTGCCTGCCCGCTAGCTTAGTGCAATGCTGTGTTGCCCGCCTGCTAGCTTAGTGCTATGCTGTGTAGCCTTCCCACTAGCTTAGCACTACGTCACTGCCAGTAATTGTCGAGGGGGGGACATGGAGCGGCACATCAGTAACATTTTTGCTAGCATGTTTGTATTGCGTCCCGCGCTACATCAATACAGACAGTTGTCGACGGGGGCATGGAGCAGTACATCAGTTGCATTTTTGTATTACATCCGGCATTACATCAATACCAACAGTTGTCGATGGGGGGTGTATGGTAGGCGGGGCACTTGGTTCTGTTGACCGGGTGGGGCTTCCCGCTTTTATAACGGTTGGGGAAACACTGAGGAAAAGCGCACCAAGGTGTTAATATTTATATATTTAGTATATATATTTATATATTTAGTATATATATATATTTAGTATATATATTTAGTATATATATATATATATATATATATATATATATATATATACACATACATACACACATACATTTTAATTTTTTTATACATAAATCTCAGCCATTTATATATTTTTATATTTGTTCCTGATTTTGACTCTTCCAGTCCTCCACACATCTTTGGTAGTTGCCCAAATTTTAAGATTTAAAAAAAAAAAACTTATAGCTAATTTGAAACAAACAAACCCTAATGTAGCTTTTCTTCATAGTCAACTGATTTAGTATCATCTTTGTGTTATCTCTTTTGCAACCTTGCAGAAATGAACATATACTCATGTTTTTGGTCAAAATGATCACCTTGGAAAGAGTCTTTCATCATTCCACGATCACTTGAATAACACAGCAAAGTATGGACAGCAAACATTTTCTGTGTGTGTGCATGAACTATGAACCAGACAAATGAATTTTGTCAAGTCAACAGCAAAATTCATTCCTCCATTCCTTCTTTTTAAAATTTTTAACCTTCCTCAACATTCTCCTTCGCCTCCTCTCCAACATTCTCAAGCTCGGCGTGTTGGATGCCAATCAAGTCCCAAAACCAAGTCAAAATCAAGCAATGAAATCAAAAGCAAAGATCATGTTAGATGAGTTTGTCGATCAATGGATAGTAGGGTGCTCGTTCCTAATGGGCTGTAACTGCAATACAGCCCGATGCTTCAGGGTTAATTATGAGAGGGGAAAGGGGATTAGGGGAAAAGTAAATGATTATAGGATTGTGTTGCTGTATGGGGTGGGGGTATAAGGCAAAGAGGGTGGTGGGGAGGTAGCTGGGGTGGACGGGGGGGATGGAGGGCAGACCAGGCAAAAAACAAAAATAGGCAATCCACTGAAGGTATGAGAAAAAATATGTTGTCTGTATATGAGGCAGTCCTCATGGTTAGTGCAATAAAGTGATCTTACAATTCTCTTCTCACTGAAAACCTTGAGACCGCCTGTAAAACAGCTGCAATAACAAACGAGGGGATTAAACACAGTAAGTCTTAAACACCAAAAACCAGCATACAAGCCAAAGTCTGCCTTCACTGGTCATCCTGAAGAATGAGTTCTGTTTTCATTTAAACATGTTTCTTATTATACGTATATACGTTAAAATGTAAGAAAAAAGTTTTCTGGACACGACACATGATACTTCTCTCACGCATATAATATACACCACATGTCCATTATATGGGTTTTACCAAGTATCTGGTAGGTAATGGTGTAATGGTACACTGATCCATGCCTAAAGTTTTGGTAGGGGTTTCTTGGTTCGGTACACGTGTATCGAATTAATGCGGCGTTGGGTTTTAAACATGTACACATGTTCCACGCAACTTAAAAAGAAAAAAAAAATAACACGCACGAAGCAACACCACAACAAAAGCATGGAGAACACAAACAGACCAAAGCTCTAAGACGCCCCATCCACATTACAGAAGTCCCTCGCTACTTCGCAGTTCGACTTTTGCAGACTCGCTCTTTTGCGGTTTTTCAAAGTAAGATTGTACGCGACACACGGTTGTCAACTTTATTATTCATGTGATTGGGACAGTATGGGATTTTGTAAGTAAAAAGTTAACGAATAAAACTTTGGAAAGGCGCCACTCAAAAGGACTATATTTCCCAGAAGCCATCAGTGCCCCACCCAGAAGCAACTGCGCTTCTAGTCGTTGCCTTCTGCTGAAATGGAGGGAAAGTTTTGATCCTATCCGAAAAAGTTTGGTCCTTATTCATAGTGAGTTCGGCACCCAGTGGATCCAAAGAGCCGCATGGAACAGAGCGGGAATCGGACCAGAACGAGACCTCCAGACTCATCCCTGAATGAGTGCCGCCCACTGGCCCACAAGGCCTACGAGGCAGGGAGGCGCCACCCGGAGGTCTGGCATTCTCTCCAGAGCCCACTCGGACTTTTATCATCCGTATTCCTCTGGATTATTTGGACTCGATCGGGACTATTGTGTAGTTCTGTGCTGGCTCTCCAAAGTTCCGGCTAGATCTTGGTGCTCAATGGCTGCAGAAGGCCAGCCAGAACCGGACCAATGCTGGCGAGTTCCCATATAAAATTTTGCAGTAGCTACTGTACAGTACATATACCATCCATTATCTTTTACCCACTTCTTCCACTTTAGGTCACGGGGGTCACTGGTGCCCATGTTCGGCAATCACTGTGCGAGGGGCGGGGTACACCCTGAATGGGTCGCAAGTCCATCACAGGGACACATGGAGACAAACAACCATTCGCTTTCTCACTCACACCTAGTTACAATTTAGAGTTACCAATCAGCCTAACAAGCATGTTTTTGGTCTGTGGGAGGAAACTGGAGTACCCGGAGAAAACCCACGCATGCACGAAGAGAACAAGCAAACTCCACCCAGAAAGGCCCCCGGACCGGGATTTGAACTGGGGTCCTGCTTGCTTAGAGGAAGCAGCTCTACCAGTTGCTCCACCGTGCTGCCCAGTACATATACATGTTCATATATGCGTATGTTCTTAAAATGACGTAGGTTTAAGAGTTTAGAACATTGCAAAAGTGTGGGTAGGGTTTATAAAGCCTTAAAATATATATAAATACAAAAATAAATATAATGTCCCTACTTCGTGGATTTACGCTTATCACGTGCGCGGGGGTGGATCCAGAACGTAACCCTCAAGACTAAACGAGGGACTACTATTGGGAACATGATGTTTTTTTAGTCAATTGCAATGAAAGAAAGGCGGTTAGAACAAAGGATTTATCGTTGAAGCTACAGGGACTATAGCTGGCTCCAAGTAGAATTTAATTATTTGAAATGGCATCACTCAAATGTAAACATAACTGGCCCAAAGAGAAACCTGAAGCACAAACCCAGTTGCCTGTAGCATTCAACAGACACTCACTAAGAATTCAGAACAGGCTGAATTTATAACAAACGCCAGAGGAGCTTTTATAGCAGCAAAGACCATACTTTGTTTGTAAAAGTGTCAGTTTGGAAATATTAGAAACTTAAATCTGTCTATGAATAGAACCAAGTCATCAGCAAATCACACCAGCTTTATAAAAGCAAGTACACGCTGAAGATCCCATGACATATCCAAAGCTTCTGTTATGTAGTTACATACTTACTGCATACTATAAAGATTTGTTTCTCTCAATGTAATTGCAATGAAAATACATAACTGTGACTTTAAAGCTGATATATGTACCGATACACCCCACGTATCTGTCAGCAGAAAGCATCAAAGCAGGCAAAAGACAAATAAGAGAATCTTGCGAAACAGCTACAAACATTTTTTCATTCAACCTTTATTCATACAGGTTAGTTTCACTGAGTCACAAGGACTCATTTACAACAGAGACCTGTGACAAAAAATACTATCTAAACACTTTACAGTAAACAAAGTATGGTCGGTTCAGAATAACTTGTAGAAGTCTGCCTGTTTAATTCAAATCAGCTGTGTGAAAAAAGCTCAGTGGTGCCGCTGAACATGGGCACCCACACAGGTGGCAGACAGAAGGTGCAGGTATGGCAAGCAGTTCTATCAAACAAGCAACAGTTTGAAAACTACTGCGGCTAGCCATCAGTTAGACCTGTCACGATAACAAATTTCGCTGGGCGATTAATTGTCTCAGAAATTATTGCGATAAACGATAATAAATTATTGTCAAATTTAGGAAGAAATGGTTAATTTGTTTTGAGTGTAGTACCATTTTTTGACCACCAGATGGCAGCATAAGACTGTTTGAACTGATGGATGGATAGTGAGGGAGCGAGCAGCATCTCTCTAAGAAAAATGGGAGGGAGGTCCCTTGACGTGACATGGGCTGTCTCTATTTGGTTCTCAAAATGGCGGACGCTCAGTGTGGTTTGAGCTCTTTAGCATAGCATTTTTCACACAAATCTTTTAATCAAAAAAACAGTAAATACGTTCTCAGCTTCATTTTGCAGAGAAAAACAACTTTTTACACAAAGGTACGAGTTTCAACCGTGAATTTTGGAGCTTCGACAAGACGGAGTTTTTTTTCCTGAGGTCGGCCTGTTAGCTTAGCTCCTCAGCTTAGCTTCTTTTAACGATCCAAAAGCATGATTTTGGACGGTTAAAACAGATTTTAAAGAGAAAAGAGAAAGGGAGGGGTCAGTGAAGAGCACCGGAGTTGAACTTTTTGTCATCCATTGTCTTCAGAAAGAGAGATACGAAGAAACGATAAAATTGATAAATGAAAATGAGGTAGATAATTTTCATTTATCATACGATTAACTGATTTATTGTTTATTGCGACAGGCCTCCCATCAGTATATTCATTCAATATCCCTGCTTCTCACACTAACACAAACACATAGCTACGTAAATGACTTGTACTTGTATAGCGCCTTTCTTTCTAATCAAGATACTTAAAGCGCTTTACAACACAATCTGTGCCCTCATTTACCTCCACACACATTCATCTCCAAACCACATATAAATACCGAACGTACCGAACCATGACTTAGGTACCATTACACCCTTAGAACCTACGTGTTAAATTCCACATTAGAAGAGAGAACAGAGGTTTGTTTGCTCAGCATGCATGTGTCAATTTTGGGTTGGTTGATTTTGATTCACTTTTTCCAGTAGCTTGAAGAACGGCAGTGACTCGAGAGAAGAATGGCATTATCCATATCGTGAGCATGTGGCGTCGTGGCTAGAAATAGACTCCTGGGTTGTTTTGATCCACAGGGAACTGGCACAACACACACAGTGGCAGATTCCCATCACCAGGGAGCACAGTCCTGATGACAGCACGGAACAGCAACACCAACTATTTGCTCCGACAGAAAGGGTGACGAATTACAAAAATAGCAACTGTCTATAAATAAAATAAGAATATTTGGAACAATTGGCAGTGTCCTTTATAACATTTTCTATAAACACTGGTAAATAAATATGTAACAATAAAGGCTGATACAGAAAGTTAAAACTCTTAAATATGTGGGTAGGACAATGCAGTCTAATAAATACACATAACTCATGACCCTGTTTCCAGGACAAAGGCATATCCGATTCATTATTTACCGATGCTGCTTCTAGTTTTGCTGCCAAGACTCTTAAGTCTTGCAATAAGACTCCAACGTGATTCATGTACCTATGAGTCAGCACTTGTGTTGTTTTCAAACTGCTTGACTTTCAGAAAATTGCTCCAAGTGGCCGTCTCTATTCAGATCTGAACATGCTCGCACCCTGATTTGCCACAAGTGTTAATTAATAGAGACATTAGAGAGCTCATTAAGTTAAATAAATTATTAAAAGCTGAGCGACTCAACAAAATGGCAACCATCAGTCATGCAGTCACTTATCTTACCTCTTTGCTGCCCTCCAGGTCAGACGAATCGCTGCTGAAATCTTCCGTGTTTAAGTTCTCGAAGTCTGACTCGCCCACAGCTATGGGCACCGTCACAGTCAGGCTGGGGTTGTGAATAAACGACATATAGTCACATTCCTCCATTGGGTACTTGCCCGTGGTATCCCCACCTACCCCAACCACCAGCCCTTCTCCTGGCCTCCCGTTGCCCTCCACCAGGTACATCCCATCAGGGTCTTTGGTGATCTCCAGTGGAGTGTGGTTAGAAATGCAGTTGCCCTTGCCGTTGCTGTGCAGCTCGTCCAGGGGTTTGCTCTCTTCTGCCAGAGCCAAGCCCTTGCCGCCGCCAAAGCAGAGGCTCCGGAGGAACTGCTGCACTTTGGACTTAATGTACGAGATGCCCCGTTGGATGCGACCCACGGCGATCTGCAGGTTGTTCATCTCGCTGTCTTCGTCAGTCGCTGCCAGGTTGTCGGCGCTAAATGAGCTCAGGAGGAGAGCCAGGAAAAGATTCAGAACCTAGAAGGGAAACGGGTTTAGTAGCAAACCTGTAAATAAGACAGTTTATCCAACGACAGAAACACAAAACATAAAACTAGGTAAAAAGTCATACCACAAGGTTTCCTATGACCATGACCATCATGAAGACAATTATGCACATGGTCTGCCCCGCTACCTCCATGCAGTCCCACATGGTCTCGATCCATTCGCCACACAGCACCCGGAACACGATGAGGAAGGAGTGGAAGAAGTCGTGCATGTGCCAGCGCGGCAGCTCGCAGTCCTCAGAAATCTTGCACACGCACTCCTTGTAGCTCTTCCCGAACAGCTGCATGCCCACCACGGCAAAGATGAACACGATGATGGCCAGCACAAGAGTCAAGTTGCCCAGAGCGCCGACAGAGTTACCAATGATCTTGATGAGCATGTTGAGCGTGGGCCACGACTTGGCCAGTTTGAAGACCCTCAGCTGGTTGGTGAGGAAAGTTACAAAGAAAGGTCACGTGTTGGATTACAGTCGACAAATTTTTAAAGGGGTCTTGGACTACTTGCACATGTTGGCCTTGATATGCATTTCTATATTCTACTACAAGTTGATGTTTATGAAACATGACAACCCCATAATACTTAAAATTCTTTACATGTTTATTACATTTTTCATCTAAGGACGTTTCCATTCTTGTACCGGTGCAATGCATTCTAGGGCAATGACGTACATCATGTACATCAACACATCATGTCACTTCCACCACTTAGTTTGGGTACCTAACTTTTAGTCGGTGTACTTTAAAAACAGTAAAATGCTCAAGTATGTGACATAATAATTAATTTACAGTATTCCATTCACTTTCCAGTCTTACCAATCTAAAGGACCTGAGTACAGACAGGCCTTCCACGTTGGCCAAGCCGAGCTCCATCAGGCTGAGGCTAACGATGATGCCGTCGAAGATGTTCCAGCCCTCCTGGAAGTAGTAGTAGGGATCCAGGGCGATAATCTTGAAGCACATCTCTGCTGTGAAGATGCCGGTGAACACCTGATGTGGAGGAAAAAGCTGTCATCAATCAGCTAATTTATTTGAGCTTTTTTTTTCATGGATAAATACTTGCCAGGTTTCCAACTGAGAGGACGTTATCGAACTCTTTGGTCATGGGGTAGTGCTCCATGGCCATGAACAGGGTGTTGAGGACGATGCAAATGGTGATGGTCAGGTCTACAAACGGGTCCATGACCACCGTGCTGACAACGTCTTTGATTTTCAGCCATGCAGGACAGCAATCCCAGATCAGACAGGTGTTAGCGAATCGATACCAGCAGGGCGGGCACTTCTGTCTGGACTCTTCAAGCTCTGGAAAATGAGAACAAAGTTAGGTTTTTTTTTTTTTTACTAAAGATGATGGTATTCTTCTTCACACATTGTTGTCCCTATTAGAGTTGGGCAACAGGATTGGTCCAAAAGGTTGGTTTGGTTTCAAAGAATGATTTGGTACTGTCATTTAAGTTTGCTTAATTTACAACTCAAACTAGGGATGCACGATATTGGATTTGTGGCTGATAACCGATATTTTTAATATACGTTCCTTTGTCAGAACATAGCCCTCTCTCTTATTTAGGCTTATTTGCTATAAAAACTGTGTCACAGCTGTAAGAGCTGGTGACATATATTGAATAACAGCCATATGATATGCATAGCACTTTAACTTATATTAAATGAAAAGTGTTAAATGTTATTAGCATTAGTCACCTGCAATGCTGTCTCACTTGTGGAGGCTTGTTCCAGGTTCCTAAAGCTGCAGTGTGGGATCCTCTGTACTCTTGTGCACGAAGGACAGCCTCTTTAAGTTCAAAGTTTTTCTCCATCTATTGTGCTGTAAGACTGATCATGCTAACGGGGCTAACACTTGACGTCCAAACATCTGTGGTAAAACTCACCCAAGTGCTATCGGCTATTAGCTTCTCAATGACGTCGGAAATGACGGCTTGGAACTCGGGTAAGGCTACGTCGGAAAAATATCTGACTGGGGACGATGTAGCAGCAGGCATCCTTGTCACTGGGTTGTCATACAAAAACAGCATCTTTTATATCGATGAGTTATTTTGATGGAATGGCCGATGTCCAATATTTAACTTTGACGCCAATATCGGCCGATACCGATACCATGCCGATAATATCGTGCATCCCCAATTCAAAACAAAACCTGCATGAGAGGTAATAGTTAAAATGTGCTTTATTGATGATAATTTACAGATAACAGACAAATTTTCATAACAACCGTACAAAATAAACCTGTTTTGGAACCCACAGTCAAGTGGATTTTAAAAGTTTCAGGCCACAGTTGCTGTTTCACAGTCAACACATTATCGTCCAGACTGCTGCCACGGTACCAATTAAACAAATGTTGCTTGTTTTAGGTACATTACTGCCATCAGTGAGTGTTGTCGCACCGAGAAGCGCTCATTATTACAGGCGGTGTGCGAAAGCTCCACGGATGTTTGTTTCTTCTTTTATAGACATTAATCACTTCTTTAATTTACCTTCCATTGTGTTGGTAAGGATACTGGCCACACTCATGGCCCTCGGCCGGCCCCCTGGTTCTTCTAAATAGTCCATGGATGGCTGGAAGAAACCCGACCTACGCTTCTTTATCTCTGTATCTGTTGTTGTTCCCTGGAAAAAGAAAGAAAACTTTATTTGAATAAAAAAATGTAAGAGACATTTTTTCAGAAACGTTTAGATGCCGAGTCTAAAATAACAGTTCATGCTTCAAGCATCACCCGCACAGCTTTGATCCCTTGTTAATCTTGATAAAATTTACTCTTAAAAATGAAGGGATTAAAGGCATTTATGGAACATGCAGGTTGATAAGAGATGAGGGAAAACTTGAGTTTTGTTGAAGAATTTCATACAAACAAAATAAGAATACCGCAAAAGGTACATCATGCACCCATCGATAAACTATTATACACATACCTGCAAACTCACTAAGGATGAAAAGGTGACAAACCTAGCACCTATAGTGGAGTGGGGGGCACAGACGACCCCCCACCAAAGATTTTGTGATTTTTAACATGTAAATTAAGCATTCTGGTATACTACAAGAAAAAAATTGAGGAAAAGACAAAATGTTTCAGGTAAAAAAGACATGTACTAACATATAATGTATTTAAGACATACACAGCTAGCTTAGCGCACTTACGTAGCACTATGCAAGTGAGCTAGCTTAGTGCTTGCGAGCTAGCACAAGCTTTGTTGCGAGCACAGGTTGCAAGCTAGCTAGCACGACTTATGTAGCGCTAGCTTAGCATTATGCAAGTCCAGCCAATGGGAAATTATGCCATCTACCATACCTCTGACAACCCCCTGAATATTTTTTCTTCGGATTTAGATGATTCACGCAAATTACATATTTTTGCTTGAAATGAGAAAATTTTGCCAAAAAGTGACAAGTTTGCAGGTATGTACAGTAGTCCCTCGTTTATCGCGGGGGATCCGTACCCTGAAGCCCTGCGATAAGTGAAAAACCGTGATGTAGGAATAGTAGTACAAGTAGGAAGTAGTAGTTTATTTTAGTATATTAAGGTGGTTTAAACCCTTCCCACACTATTGCAATACTCTAAACAATGTATCTAAACTCAAACGCTCTAAAAGAGCACAGAATGTCATGATTTCCCTCTCTATCCCTCTGCTGCTCTCAGCCACCTGCAAGCATTCTTGGCCACGCCCACTCCTCCGCTCTGCACGGAGATCAGCTGCAGGAGGAAGCTTTTTCTGCAGCTGTGGGCTGCACACAGGTGCAGCAGGTGCTAAATAATTTTAAATAATTTATTTTAAATATAAATTCCATGCTGATCATGCGGCTCATCCATCAATCAGCCAATAGCGTGCCATGCCCAATCTTACTTGGAAAAACCACGATGGAGCGAGTTCGCGAAAAACGAACCGCGAAGTAGCGAGGGACTAATGTATACAGAATTACTAGAATCTATAGCAATGGCCCAGACAAGCCATGACCATGTATAACCTTTGACCCTGACCTTAGAGCTGAGGTGATGAGATTATGCAAGACGCCATTTTTGTTAAATTATCTTGAGCACATGAGAAATTAGGATCCGGACAAGTAAAGACTTTGTTGTAACGTTGACCTTGATTTGTCACCCTGAAGCTAGGGTGATGAAAAGATTATGCAACTCATCGTGTAGTGGTGGTACAGATACAAACCAACTCACCAAGCTTTGTTAAAATTATCTTGAGCTGGTCAGACGTTAGGGTCTGGACAAGAAAATACCTTGTTTTAAATTTGACCTTGAATCTTGGGTAATGAAAAGCGTATGTAAATTTACGTCATCATCACTAGACATTTATGCCTAGTAAACATTTATGTCTAGTGATGATGCATATCAAGTTTCATTAGATTAGCTTGAGCAAATAATAAGTTATGGCTCAGACAATAGAAAAGTTCTGGATGTACGGACGGAGACTATACCACAATATGTCCAACTTTGACTGGCATATAAAACAAAGAAAATAGGAATGAAGAAAACAATAAAGTTAAAAACTCAAAGGAAGATAATGAGAAAATAAACCATGAAACGGTTGTCACCTCCGGCAGCAGGAGACCTACAGGAGAGGTTACGGACGTCCCACCGACCAGCGACACCACTCCGTTGCAGTCTACGGAGCAGTGCATCTTGCCGTTGGCGGGCAGCACAATCCGCGGCGCCACAAGGCTGGTCTGGCTCACGGCGCTGCAGCGGCGCTCGAGGCGTCGCGGCACGAACAAGGAGCCGCGGCGACTGTCGCTTTCCTCGAAGGTGCTGTGCTCGTCGTCGGCGAAGTCGTTCTCCGAGCCCATGTCGCGCGCTCGGCCACGGAAGCTGAAGAGGCTGGCTCGGCTGTTCCTCCGAGGTGAGAACAGGGTGCCGCGAACACTGAGGAGGGACTGGGAAATGGATACAAAAAGTCCTCTTAGAAGTATTCTCAAAAGTATTCCTAGTTCAGACCGTCTACCTTATGACAATCCTCAACAAAACGATTGTCGCTCAAGAGACAATTTGTTTTTTATTGTACTCTATTAATCCCCAACGGGGAAATTAATTCTCTGCACTTTTCCCATTGCACATGTGAGCAGTGGGCTGCCATCCAAGGTGCCCGGGAATCAGCTGGGGGGTTTAAGGGCCTTGCTCATGGGCCCAGAGTGGGGCAAATGAGGGTGGACGCAGGTGTGGGTGTTTCATCTTTTCCACCCACATTTTGATGTCGGTACGGGGAGTTGAACCGTGGAGTTGACCGGTGACTCTCCAATCACAGGTCCACCCTCTCTAACCTCTGCACCACCACTACCTCTTAAAATAGTTGCTCTTGTGCTTTTAGGGTGGTGGAAAACAGGAAACCTTAAATTGTACATTTACCAGAAGGAGAGATAAGTGAAACTCAGTCTATCACCATAGCAACAGACTGCTTTTCCCCCATGCGGTTGCCATAGTGAACCGAGGTCTCGGAGCTCCATTGATGATGGCTTTTATGGCACACTTTTACCCCTAGGTTAAGAACCTCTCAGTAATTTAACCTGAAAGTAATTAACCTTTCTGGACCCAAAAGCCTGGAGTTTTTCCTCCCGGGGTAAGTTAACGTAGAGTTTATGAATGATATCGGAGATTGTTTTTCTTTCTTCTTTTTTAAAATTGATAATAAAAGTGTTAACAAAACAGTAAAATCAATATCCACATTAAAAATCAAAATGAACAAGCCAATAATGCCAGGGGGTTATAAAGCGAGCACAATTAGCACAAAGTGAAAACTTAAATATTCTTATATATATATATATATATATAT